TCCAATCTAAACCTCCCCTGGCGCAACTTGAGGCCGTTTCTTCTCGTCCTATCGCTTGTTACTTGGGAGAAGAGACCAACCCCACCTCGCTACAACCTCCTTTCAGGGAGTTGTAGAGAGCGATGAGGTCTCCCCTCAGAGAATCGCATTAAGGTGGACAACATCCAGCCCCAAAAGCCAACTGGGAGCTGCTCAGCAGTGTAGGCAATACTGAATTTTGCTGATTCGACTGTGTGCAAGCTGGAGCTGGGCTGTGCGTGCCGTAGGACAGGGTTGAGCAGGAGGAAGAGGTGGAGGTGGCATTCAGGTGATGGAGGCAATGTACTTGAGCAATTTTTCCTCTGCTCCTGCTCAGCTGTGTCACCTCAGCAGGGACCGTTAGGCACACGGGACTGGATGGAACCCTCTGCACCAGTAAGTCCAATTATTTAGTTTGTTATCTAGTCTTTACAAGTAACACCTGAGGCTCTGTCTCAGAAATAGGGAATTTATAGTTGCACGATGCCAGCTGGAAGGGTGTGCCAAGACCCTCAGCGTCTGATGGTTTGCAGCCATCATCTCATTTCCAGTCTGAGTCAATGGACAGGTTATAGTTTGCTGTTTCGTTGGCACTGGGTTACTCAGTGCTTTTCTCCTATCTGGAGGTCACTGCTCAGTGTCTCCAAGTACGGTATCCACATCGTTTGGCTCTGTAGCAAGCAAGTCAAAGTTTTTTAGTGTCCTTTTTATTCCCTGTATCAACCATTTCTCTCCAGCTCTTCCGAGATGAAATCACTGTTTCTTAAACACAGATGCAGATTGTTGCCCATTGGAGATGAGGTCCCCATCTTGCTGAGACTCCCATGTCATGTTTGTGGGCATCACAGATGCATTATGAATCCCTCACTTACCCTTTGATAACCAGGGCCTCCACATTGTTCTCCTCCTTAGGCAGTTCCAGCCGTGGAGCTCCCGTCCTATAGCAAAAAATCCTGGTGATTAGTACTGAGTCGAGAATTTAGTACTAATAATTTTCATCCCATTTTGAACACGGCAGTCAAGGTCAATCCCTTTCTTCCTCTGTGATAGCCCGATCCTCCTTTGTACCGGTGCTGCCTACAACGTTGTGTCATTAGGAGGTCTCATCAGCGTTGCCCTACTTTTTTGTGCCAAAGTCAACCTTAAAAATGTTAAACACTGGTAACCTCCTTCCAGGCTGCAGCTCAGCCTTCCAGCACTCACCATTGTCATTTCCCTTGCCCGGTTTCCCGTTCTGCTGATGTTCATGTTCACTGGCTTAATTAATAATTTCCCACGTGGCCCTGTTATCAAATGCTTTATTGAAACCAGATAGATTTTCACATTTCTTTTGTCTGCTAAGTCAGTTATCGTGTCAAAGGACATGTCAAACATCTCTCCCCCTCCCGTTCCACTCACTGCCGTGTCTCTTTAGACCACCAGCTTCTCCTGGATGCAAGAGCAGATGCTGTAGAGCAGACGCCACTTTCACTTGGCGGCTTCAACAATTTGTAACACAAACAATAAATAAAGAGGAGAGGGATCAGCTAATTTAGGCAGCAGGACTTTCCCTGTCCTTCCTTTGCCAAATAAATCACAAACAGCCGTTGTAAATTTGTCTTCTCTCGCATTTAAAGCGTGACCTTTGCTTTTCCTGTCTCCTACTGGCTGAAAAAGCCTTCACTTTCTCGGTACTTCTGCACTCTATCCTGTATCAATCTTGCTTTTCTTTGCCCTTAGCTGGATGTCTTCGTAGCACCAACGCTGATATCGTCAGCTAAGCCTTGCCGTGCCGGGGCGAGAGCATGGATGCTCTCCTGCTAGCATGACCAGCAGCAGGAGCCAGGAGGGGAAAGGCAGTTTTAGGAAAGTTTTATAGGGTGGAAGTTTTATTTCTCTTGATTTATAACTCAGCATTCTGATGAGAATGTCATCCTTCCAATGCCCTTTATATATATATTTTTTATATATATATATATATGTACACACACTTTTTACTGATACTTGGATTTTTGTTGTAACACTTAACTATAGCATATAGGTCAAGAATAAGATATTCCTAGCCCAGTCTTTCTCTGGGTTCCCTGTGGACGTACTTTCAGAGCACGCAGTTCTGCTTTATCTCGGCTCCATCATTATTACCCTGAACAAGTATCTTACCTTAATGCAGAAAAAACATTTCTACAGGACATAAATGGGATAGCTGTCTTGTTGAATCTGTCTAAGGCAGTTGAGTAATTGAGCACTCTATTTTACATCCAATAATTTTTTTTTAATTTTTTTTTTTTTTGGTGGAGCTGTAACTCGGTTTTGCAAAGGAGGATGCATTTGAGGGATGTTCTCAGGTTGATGGGGGGGTTGTCTGAAATGATGTGCTGCTCATGCCTGGAAAGAAGGGGGCTGGCTCCAGCGGTAAAAATCACTTCAGCCCCTGTAAGACAAGCAGAATTGCCTGGGGGTGAGGATATGGCCCTCGGGCAGCTGCCCCTCTCCGTGAGGATGCCAGCTGCGCAAAAAGACACCTTGAAGAGGGGAATTTAACCGGTGGTCTTAGGGGAGCAGCTTGTTTCAGAAAGCACTTTACACCGCTGTGCAGTGGAGCGGGGAAGCAAATATTCCTGCTTCACGGCCCGCCTGGGATGTGCGGCTGGGGACGGTGCTGCATGGTGCAAAACAAGCAGGTGATGAGCAGCGTGCCCCGCGCAGGGATGGGCTGGCGTTGGGGTACAGCCCGGGGACCCCAGCATCCCCATCCATCTCCATCTGCAGGGACTCGCCGTAGTCCCTCTTCCAGGCTGCAATTCAGGAGCACAAAATAATATCCCTGGCGGGGATTTCTATTTAACATTTTATTATCGTGGAAGCATCTCCCAGCTTCTCCTTGCTGCCAGCAGATTTGTAAAACCTTGCTGTTTGGCTGGTGCGTGGTTGCTTAACACCAGGCTTTACATTCATCTGGCTTTAACTCTAAAAATACCACCGCAGAGCTGTAAACAAACCATTTCGGCATCGGTTGCTCCATCTCCGCTGTACGGGCAAGGAAATCCAGGCCGTTGTGAGCCGCGGGCTGGCTCCCGGCAGCCCCGCATCCATCCCTAGGACTCCCACTGACTGCAGCCGGCTTTCTCCTGCGTGGCAGCATCCTCCCCATGTCAAGTAGCTCTTGCACCGCGTTTATCCGCCCAGCCTCGCAGGTGCCGTCTTGGAAAGCGGCCAGAGATTTCTCACTGAAATACTTTGCAAGGTCGCTGGTTCCCTGCTGATGTTGCTTGGCTTGCTGCTTTTCTTTTCTTGTTCTTTAAAAGGGTTGAAGGTATGTGGGGCTGTGCAGGTGCTTTCCTGCTTATCTAGCTCAGAAAGGGGGAAAAAATGTAGGTGTTGTTTAAAGAAAACAGTGGCCTTCTGGAGTGGAGTTATATATTAATTGCAAATGGCAAGGTTATTCTGCTTGTAGAAATCAATAGGGCTATTCCCAAGAGTGCCGGCGTTGGCACTGGGGTCTTAACTTAGCCCAAAGCCCAGACCAGATCTCCTTTCTCTCCCCAAAGCCCTGCACGACCAGCGTGTCCTCTTGCAGGATCCCTGCTCTCCTGTAGGATTAAAAGCTCATGCCCTGGAGCTGACGTCTCAGATTGCCTTTTCCACGCTCATCCCAGTCTTGCTCCCCTTGAACAAGTTATGAACAATATGCTTCTTGTGGGACTCCTGTGTGTAAGGACTAGCTGTCAATTAAATGATGCTTATGTGCAATTAATTATTAGGTGAATTAGTTAATGTTTTCCTCCACTTTGTCCTTTTTCTCCTGATTCCTTCACGTTAAATCAGCTACAGAAGGTACCGTGGCCACATAGGAAGGAGGGAAGATGGGCAGATAGCTCATCTCCCAAAGAAGGGGATCCAATCTGTTTCTTCCACAGCAAAGATGAGCAGACATCTTAGAAAGCAGACATTTATGGGGAGCTGGACAGTTTGGGTTTTCCAGAGATCCAGTTAGATCAGCTAAAAAGTTGGCTTTGGCAAGGCGGGAGCTGGCCCGGCCAGTGGGTTGCAGTAAAGAAACTTCAATTTTGTGTCTGGGTGAACGGCAAGGGGAGAGGTTTTCCAGACGTAGGAGGAGGAAATCCTTCAGGATCAGCCCTGATTGCTGAATTTTCATCTGGCTTCCTCCCACATTTCCCTTTGCCTTTCACCTTGAAGGAGGCTGCCCATCTGCTCCTGGGCAGGCAGCTTTGCCTAAAAGAAATCAGTGCATCGTGCTCAGATGGGCTGGAAACACAGGCAGGGGCACGAATCCTGACTTTTCCCATTCCCAGATTTGGGCAGCAATGGGGCTGATGGTTGGTTTATTGGCCGAGACCTTCAAGGAGAAGTGCAGGTGCCTTCAGGGTGCCATTTCGCTGTGAAGGGGAGTCCCTTTCCCTTCCCACATCCACTTCGACTGTGGAGCTCCATCAGCCTGAGCCCCAGCGGGAGGTTGAAAGGGTGCGCGGTGTCTTGCAAAGTCTTTCGCAGCGTGAGCCACGCTTTACTGCCAGTGCAACAGAGCAAACTCTCTATCGGTGGAGTTCCTAAAACTAAGGGGGGAATTAGATGCAAAGGTCTGATTTTTTCCGCTTTGCTGGATTTGTGGAGGCCAGCACGCTGGGTTGCAGATCAGGACTTCGACCATGCTTTTTGCTCTCGCTATTCGGATATAAAAATGCATGTGCAGAAGGTCTGAGGTGAGGGAAGAAAGGGGAGATTGGAGGTTGCCCATGCAAGATCCTACAAAGGTATGGAAAGCCCTGGGTTGGGTTTGCATGGGGCTGATGTGCCATGGCTGGGTGACAGCCTCCCACCAGGTACCCCGCACACCCAGGGGACGAACGCGCCGGTCTCAGCCAAGCGGCAGAGCTTGTCGCGGTGTCGGCCAGTAGCTATGGCAACTGGCGCGGAGGATTCCCGGAGAGGGACGTGTTGGCAAGCAGCCCGGCGGAGGGAGGACACAAGGAAAACCACGTGTTCCCTCCGGGGAGCTGGGACGGGTTTTGGCAGCATCATCGTGCAGAGAGCAGGGGAGATGCTGTCGTTGAAAGTCGTGGTGCTTTTTCTCCCATCGGTGGGGTAAAAGCCTCTGGCAGCACTGCGGCATTGCAGTGGCGTTGGAGCAAAGCTCGGTGCAGGATGCTATAAGGGGAGAGGTGATTTTATTGTGTCTCATAGAAATGCTCCCACGGCTCGGTATAACCCACAAGGCTGGAAGGGTCTGCTGCGTTCGGCCGGTGTGATTCCTGGGATGACATAGAACGGGTTATTTCAGCCATCGACTGGCTGTAGCATCTCCAGAAAGCTAGCCAGGCTTCAGAGGAGATGCAAAGGTCCATCGCTTGATCCTGCCCCAGAGCATGGGATGAATTGGATGGTTTTTGAGGTTCTCCCCAGCCCCGTTTGCCATGATTCTCCTGCTTGCTTGTTCTAGGGCTGCTAACTAACATGCTGATCCCCGTCCATGGAGGAAAAGGAGGTTTCTCTTTTATGACCAGTTGCAATTTGTCTCTCCTTGGCCGCTCTGAGAGCTGGAAACCCTCAGAAAAGACAGGCACGTCTCTTGCCTTAGAGGATGGTTTTCTGGTTGGGCTTCTGCTGGTACCTCTAGACACATCTGAAGTCTTGGTAGCACTTTTGGTCAGCTTTTGCAAAGCCTAGCTCCTGGAGTTAAGTGGTTATGGGAGGCCTTCAGGTTCAGTGTAGACCAAGGGTCTTGCAGGATGGAGTGATGTGCGAAGCTGGTTGTGAACAACTGGAAGATGTTTCTTTAAACTCAGCGCGCCGTTGCTGTGAGTTGCAGCCAGGCGTGCCTGTCCAGCCCTTCCTATCTCAATGTTCGGTCTTCCAGTGGCTCTTCAGGCATCTCTAGTAGTCTTTCGGTGGTGACATACACATCATCATCTTCTTCGCACCTTGTTGGGGAGGAGGGATATTCCCAGAAGTTAACGCTGGGATCTGGAAACCAGGCTTTTGACCATGTCACACTGATGTTTGAAGCTGAAGTTGGGTGGGAAGTCAAACTGGGTGATGGGTAAAAGTGGAAGGGAGCGAGGACGGGGTGCTGTCACATAAGACTTTTGACATGATGCAAAATAGGGGGAAACAGAGGCTTGTGTTGTTATTATGGCATGGAAAGGGCAAGGACGTCTGAAGGTGGTACGCTGCTGAACGGGCCACTTTCATGGCCTCTTTGCTCTCATGTCAGGGGGAGCTATAAGCACTGAAATAGACGATGTATTTTATTTTAAGATCTCAAAATGCTTGCGAACAAGTCTGATTTAAGCTGGTCCCCATTCTGGATTTCAGCAGACACCACGTTCCAGCCCATATGAGCATTGCTTGGTGCAAGACCAGAGTCTGGTAGTGTCCAGGTTTGGGGCTGTGCCCTTGGTATAGAAGCTGCATGGACCTGTTATGCAGAAGGTGAAATGAGGGGAATCACCGTGACCCCAACTGCCGTGCACAATCCACCGCTCTGCTGCATTGGCGGATGTGGAGACATCCCTTGGGAAGCTGCAGAGGTGCTGCAGATGTGTTCAAAGCTTCTGCAGGGACAAACGAACGTGCCTCAGTGCACCACGGGGCAAAAGCAGAGCTCTTGTGCTGCAACCGCCTGGCTTGCAACACGCCCGGGTGATCATACGCTCATGAAATATGATAACATAGGAAATTAATATATGGTGTTCAGCGTAAGACCGTGTGGAAGGAGAAGACATTTATTTACAAAATATATAAATAACTTGAC